ACATGCTGCACATATATCATTTATACTATATTTGAGAGCACAGGTGTGTGTGTGTGTTTGTGTGTGTGTTTGTGTGTGTGTGTGTGTGTGTGTGTGTGTGTGTGTGTGTGTGTGTGTGTGTGTGTGTGCGCGCGTGTGTGTGTATATGTGTGTGTGTGTGTGTGTGATCTCGTGTGTGTGTGTGTGTGTGTGTGTGTGTGTGTGTGTGTGTGTGTGTGTGTGTGTGTGTGTGTGTGTGTGTGTGTGTGTGATTAGAGGGATTGCCTGCTAAATATAGAAATCAAATTATGATCCAAAAAACTATATGCAATGGTTCAACGCGGTTATTATTCTACATACATAGAGACACGGTTTCAAATCACAGACGGGAAAGAAAACATTTTGTTTGCACATGATAAAATGCAGCTCAGTGGTTTGGCGTTTCTAATAGCTGACATACCACTCAGCTGTGTAAGGTTGAAGACGTCATCTTTCCTGATTCATTACTCCGATAGGCGGTCACAGTCAGGCGCTGATACACGTTGGTGGTATCTGCTATCGGAGTGGACATAGATTAAAGCCATGCGTTGTGTGGTTCTGTGACTGAATGGCTTTTATCCCACTACACCACTGAGCAGTCCGGGTCAGAAGCGAACATTATAATAATCCACCATTTGCATAATTGTCTTCGTCAGAAGGACTATGAAATTGTCTCGCCGGAGTGTGGGGAACTGCGGATTTTGCGATATAACTCTGGAAGGCATGATTCGACGTCCATGATTTTTGGCAGGCAGATTACCGCTGTTAAGGCCGAAGTCAAGTACAAGTTTTGGCTTCGTGGGGGGTCCGTGCGTCACGTTAGTGCACCTTTTGTGTTTGTGGCTTGTTAGCAAGATAACTCAAGTATTTGTAAAATGTTGATTATAATTCTTGGTGTGGTGCTTACTATTGTCGGGACCAAGGTTAAGTTTGTTACTGAGCTTCGTGGGGGGTTTCGTTGTGACTTCACCTTCACCTTGTCCCTTCCTCTTCTGGAGGGTCGGGGACTGTGGTAGCATTCAGCACAAGCTTCCTCCATCCATCTCTGTCCTTGGCCATCTGTGTGCAGTCAGCCAGGGACCTGCCTGTCCAATCTCTGATGTCGTCTACCCATCTCCTTCGCGGCCTCCCTCTGCTCCTGCTACCACAGATCCGTCCTTGCAGGATGTGAGTTGAGATGTTCTGTGCTCTCGACACATGTCCGAAGTACTGTAGTTTCCTCCTTCTAATCATGTGTAGGAGTGATCTTCCGATCCCTAACTCTTCCAGGACTGAGGCGTTTGTACGATGTTCTGTCCAGCTAACTCTGAGCAGCTTCCTGTAACACTTCATCTCGAAGGCCTCGATCTTCTGTGTGTCTTTCGCATGGAGTGTCCATGCTTCGCAGCCGTAAGTCACCACGGGCCACACCAGCGCTCTCAACACCCTCATCTTGGTGGACATCTTTAGGACTCTGTCCTTCCAGATGACGTCCAGGGAGCTAAGGGCTGTCCTCGCGGCTCCCAGGCGCGCACTGACCTCCCGGCTGCTTCCAGCTGTTTCGTCAATGATGGCACCCAGGTACTTGAAAGTTGACACCTGCTCCAGCTGGACCCCCTGACAGAAGATACTCAGTACTGTGGGTTGCTTAGTTGCTGCCATGACCTTGGTCTTCTTGGTGCTGATCTCCAGCCTGTACTGTAGAGACACAGTGTTGACTAGGTCCAGCAGCTCCTGAAGTCTCTCAGGTGATGTTGCAATCAGGGCGATGTCATCAGCAAACCGTAGATTGTTGACAGTCCTCCCACTGATGTTCACACCAATCCATGAGAGTTCACCAGCAGACTCTCTCATCACTGCTTCCGAGTAGAAGTTGAAGCAGATCGGTGAGACCAGACAACCCTGACGCACTCCTTTCGTGACTTGGAACCAGTCAGTTAACTCATCCTCCACTCTGACCGCTGCCTGTTGTCGTCTGTACAACTGCTGTAGCGAGTTGACTAGGTACCTGGACACACCCATATCCTTCAAGATCTTCCACAGGGTTCTGTGCCTTACAGAATCGAAAGCCTTTTTATAGTCAATAAATGCCATAAAAAGTTTTACATTACTCTCCCGGGCTTTCTCCATTAGGATCCTGATGTTGAATACTTGATCCCTGGTTCCCACTTTCTTCCTGAACCCCATCTGTCTTCAGCGAATTCCTGGTCTGCCACCTTTTCCATGCGGTTCAGAAGAATACGCAGAAGAATCTTGCTGGTGTGGGAGATCAGAGCGATGGTGCGATACTCTGAACAGTCAGTAGTTCCTGGTTTCTTGGGGATGGTGATGAACACTGACCGTACCCAGTCTGTGGGCCAGTCACCAGTCTGCAGAATCCTGTTGCAGAGGCAGCACAGGGCTGTTATTACTGCTGGGTTGTCGGTCTTCAGAAGTTCACCGGGTAGGTCGTCTACACCAGCAGCCTTGTTTTTTGGGAGACGCTTGATTGCGTGTTCCACTTCTGTTTCCAAAATTTCTGGGAAGGACTCGTCTCCTGACTTCTCACTGGATGTGTCCTGTTCGTCATCACTGTCGGAGTGCGATGCGTTGTCGCTGTACAGCTGTTCGCAGTACTGCTTCCAGCGCTGTAGGATGCTTTGAGATCAGTGAGCACTCGGTTGTCCTCACTCCTGATGTTCCTCTGCTTGGGTTGGAACCCCCTCCTCAACTTCTTGATGATGCTGTACGACTTCCTGAGTGAGCTGTTACCTCCGAGTCCTCGCTCCATCTCCGCACACTGCTCTTCCAGCCACCTTGCTTTGTCCTTTCTTGCCTCCCTTTGGACTCGCTTGTTCACTTCTCTGTAGAGCAGCTCCCCACTTTCAGTGGTACGGCGTGCTTTCAGCTCTCGCCTTCTGTCTATCAGGTCAAGTGTCTCCTGCGAGATCCATGGGTGGTTTGCCTTTCTAGGCGCTTTTCCCAGCACCTTCTCTGCTGCAGCTTTAATGGCCTCCGCGAAGGACTCAGAGAACTCCTCCGGTGTTCTTTCTTCCTGGAGCAGGTTGAGGGCCTCGAATCTGTTGCACACCTCAATGTTATAGGCTTCCTGAACTGTTGGTGAGTCTAGTGCATCCAGATTTAGGTGGGCTCTCCGCTTCTACCTCCCACACCTCTTAATCTTGAGCTTAAGACTTGCCACCACCATGTTGTGGTCTGATCCACAGTCAGGTCCAGGATACGCTCGACAGTTGGTGACACTACTCCTCCATCTCTTGTCGACGAGGATGTAGTCGATCTGGTTCCTGTACCTGTCCCCTGGGGACATCCATGTGTAGCGACGCCTCGCATGGTGCTTGAAGACTGTGTTGGTGATGATCAGGCCATTATCTTGGCAGAACTCCACCAGCCGTTCCCCTCGCTCATTGGGTGTTCCTAAGCCGTAGGGACCACAGACCTCTGCTTCAAGCCTATCTGCACCTACTTTGGCGTTGAAATCACCCATCACCATGGCGATGTCCTGGCTTGGGCACTCCTGTAGTAGCTGTTGTATTTGCTCATAGAATACCTCGACTTCTTCGTCTGGGGTATCTGCGGTCGGTGCATACACTTGTATCAAGTACATGTTAAACGGGGATGCCATAATGCGCACTAGTAGAATGCGGTCACTTACAGCTTTATAGGAAAGCATGCTTCTGGACGCTGCTTGGGACAGTACTACTGCCACCCCTGATCTGTGTGTTTCTCCTCCTGAGTAGATGACCATTTCTCCCTCTGTGGTAGTAAAGAAGCCGCTTCCTGTCCAGTGAGTTTCGGCGACACCGAGGACGTTGATGTCGCACCTTTCCATCTCTCTCAGGACGTTGCTTAGCTTCCCTACTTGGTGCAGAGTACGTACGTTCCATGTTGCCATTCTCATGGCCTTCCGCAGGTTGATCCTGCCCGATCGTTGTGACTACAGGGGGCATTTTGTTAATTTTTCTTGTGAGCAGGATAACTTTTGTATGTGTGGATGGAAGTTAATGAAATTTGATAGGCATATTACTGTCGTGGTCTCCAAGATTGAGTTCAAAGATGAGAGTCGTGGAGGTCGTTATGTCCCCGTAATAGGACATTTTGTGTTTAGAAATTCCCCACCTACATCTGCATGGAGACAGCCGACAGCTGGATATAGCGGGGAACCCCATAATGGGATGGGATCAAATGACGTTACATTGAGGGATTGTACTATAACTTCAGCAGGGGGAGGAAAGGTTGGACATATGTCAGGAAATTTTCTACGGCCACACCAAGTAATTGCTATGGATGACGTCCACTGGAGACCTTAAATCTAATTACCTTAAATTTAAGGCAAGCGCGCAATAAAAACACGAAGGGCCGAAAAACGAGATGCCTAGATTTGGAATATACTAACTGTAGAAGTACAAATGTTAGGACACAAAGAACACAAGAAACAAGTCTTCTATTTGTCATAAAGACAAATTAACAAAACAGCAGTAGTCACCCTGTTCTGATTCTTTCCTTTATAACATCTTCTCTTATTATATTTTTCGGCGCTGTCGTGACACTTTCAACACAGTAAGAATTTCTTGAACGTTTTTTTTCCCAGTAACAGTCCAAACTCAAATAACGTAGGGGGGGGGGGCTAACACGGGTGACGACGCATCTGTATAATCTGCGGCAAACCGTTTCAGGGTGTTCTGTACCATAAAAATAGTACAGAGATTCTTTTGTTCTTTAGACCAAATTGATTATTAAAAAGATTGAAGAATACGCATGTTAATTTCTCTAGAACGATGTACCTCTGACGAAGACATGAGATCTCCGACCTCTAGTTAGCAATAAAACGTGATGCTGGAATTTTGCCAAAAGACAAAGGCCTTACACACATACAATATATGTCATTTGAGTAGAGAATTCCATCAATTGAAATACTAGGAGGTTATCTGCACCTTCCGATGTATCGGTTTAGTTTTGTCAATTTGCACTATGCATGATATTGAAACCAATGGAACCCCTTGAAACCCCTTGAAAATATTTACTGCACCGCTTCGAAGTGAATGCGTGTTGTAGTTGTGAATGCGTGTTGTAGTGAATGCGAGTTGTAGAAGTGAATGCGTGTTGTAGTGAATGCGTGTTGTAGTGAATGCGTGTTGTAGAAGTGAATGCGTGTTGTAGAAGTGAATGCGTGTTGTAGTGAATGCGTGTTGTAGAAGTGAATGCGTGTTGTAGTGAATGCGAGTTGTAGAAGTGAATGCGTGTTGTAGTTGTGAATGCGTGTTGTAGTGAATGCGTGTTGTAGAAGTGAATGCGTGTTGTAGTGAATGCGTGTTGAAGTGAATGCGTGTTGTAGTGAATGCGTGTTGTAGTGAATGCGTGTTGTTAGTAGTGAATGCGCGTTGTAGTGAATGCGTGTTGTAGTGAATGCGTGTTGTAGTTGTCTTCGTCAGAAGGACTATGAAATTGTCTCGCCGCATTGTGGGTGACTGCGGATTTAGCGGAATAACTCTTGAAGGCATTATTCGACGTCCATGATTTTTGGCAGGCAGATTACCGTTGTGGAGGCCAATGCCAAGTGCAAGTTTGGGCTTCGTGGGGGGTCAGTACGTCACTGCAGTGGACTTTTTTGTGTTTGTAGCTTGTTAGCAAAATAACTCGAGTATATTTAAACAGATGTTCCTGATTTTTGGTAGGCAACCTACCATTATAGAGGCCAAGGTCAAGTTCGAAAACGGGCCTCGTGGGGGGTCCCTATGTCGCTGCAGTGGACCTTTTGTGTTAGGTATATAATGAACTACCCCCAACAACCTCTGCATTGATTCACATGGGGACAGCTGTCCCCGGCCGCATCTGGTATCAATTGCTTACAATTGAGGGGCTGTCCTATAAATACTGGGGCGGGGGAGGGAAAAGGTGGACATGCGTCAGGCAGGTCATTCCCTAATTGTAAGGCCAGACCAAGTAATTTCTATGGATGACGTCCACTGGAGTACCTTAAATTTATTGACAAAGACGGGAATAAACTACACGAAGGCCAAAAAAACCTGATTAACATGCACAGATTTGGAACATACTAACTGTGGAAATACATACAAAAGATTAGGATGCAAATTGAATAAAAGAACATAGTGCAACAACAAAGGAAAACAGCAATAAATCTCCCCCTCTTCGGATTCTTTCCTTTCATCACATCTTCTCATTACATTTTGCGACACTGTCGTAGAATAAAAAAAAGGAAAAAAAAGGAGTACAGAGATTCTTTTGTACTCTAGACTAAATTGATTTCTAGTATTAAAAAAACGTTCCTTTATCTAGAACAATGTCCCTCTGACGAAGACATGAGATCTCCGACCTCTAGTTGCGAATGTTTTCGGGAGAATATGTCGCCATGTTAGACCAGACCAACATGTGTATTTTTGGCAACTGTAATCTAAGGAAACTTTCACCAACCTGAGCTTTCTACCTAGATACTGGTAGTCTCTTTTACCGATTCCTAACCTGTCTCAGGTTTTGCTAACACGTCTATCTGCGCTGTTCTTTTTTCAGCTATGTTACGATGTTTGTTGATCTGGGGAACCTTTCCGCTCTAAGAGCCTTCAGAGTACTCAGGGCGCTGAAGACCATTTCTGTAGTGCCAGGTGAGCATCTTCATGAAAAGGAACCATTTTTAACACACCGCGTATCATGTCTGTGATGCCATTATATAATCCATGTGGTGATGCCTTAGTGAGCAAAAAGCTACATCGGGATCCACATATCTCCACATGTAACATGTTCTCCAGGTTTCGTGTATCTATTTATTTATCTATATGATTAATCCACTACGATAATCCCATATTTACATGAAACAAGCCTTCTCTTCTATTCATGGTGTGTGGCTACGATTACCCTGGAATCCAGAACTCGTTTTCCTTGCCGCAAGAGCCCTTCCCCCGCTGGTGTAAATTACCGCTACGGGGGAGTCTAGCCCGGGGGGAGTTTGGCTGGCCCTACAAATCGGACAAACCCCTCGGGCTCAACTCCCCCGTAGCGCTACTTTAGGCAGGCGGGCAAAGGGCTCTCGGCTGCCGTAGGAAAACGGCTAACGGCCCGATACTAGTTTTGGCATCCAGGGTAGGCTACGATTTTTTTCCGTTCTCGTCAAACAAGGCCACCTTCTGACACAAAAAAGGCCATGTTTTGACAAGATCAAATGCTGTCTGTCTTACAGGTTTAAAAACCATAGTGAAAGCTTTGATAGAATCAGTGAAGAATCTTCGGGACGTTATCCTGCTAACAGTATTCTGCCTGGCTGTGTTCTCACTTCTCGCGCTACAACTCTACATGGGGACCCTACTGAACAAGTGCGTGCGCGACCTACCGACAGACAATGGAACAGCACTAAATCTCACCGACGAGGTGTACATGGCTCACATAAACAACGAAAGTGAGTTTAGGTTACAGCATATTTCATTATTACCTTCGCCAAGAAAACTATATTTTCAGTAGTGTTTGTGTGTATATGTGTGTGTGGGTATGTATGTGGTTTAGCACGATAACTCAAGGAGCTTATGATATCGATAGATTGTTATAAAATTTAATAAGTGTTGATAAGACCTAGAAATGATTATATTTTGGCCCCCCTAGCGGCTTTCCTAGGTACTGCAGGAGAAGTTCCGGTTATAGCTGATGATCAAGACATGCTAGGGTCACGAATTTTAGATACTTGGGCTGGGGGATTGGTGACATGGGTTTGGGCGGCTTGTTCTGGAACTGCAGGAACGTTTGTTGAAAAATCTTCGAGAACTAAAGAACTGGTTGGCGTATTGTCATGATTTCTAGTACGTACATAGCTTAAATGATGCTTGACATAATTATATGATAATTATGCATATCTGGAGCTAATGTGCATAATTAATGAGAAATGTCTATAAATCTGCTGTATAGGCATATGGAACACGTGTGAATATGAAGACTGTGTAAATGAAGACCTCATTTGCATAATTAATGTAAAATTGCTATAATTTCATAGTGATAACTGCCATGCAGTTCATACTTGCCAAATTTGGAAGGTAACTGAAAGTAAACATCAATAGAAATAATTCATTCAAATCATAACATCATTTTCCACTATTTATGAGGAAGCGATAGAATAGCCTTCTCTGTTACGATAAGGCTGTCATTGGGTGGAGAATATGACCAACTGATATAATCCATGATAAAAAGGAAATGAGGATCTTATTTTCATAATCAATGAGAAAAAAGTATAATTTCGTCAGTCGGAATGGTTAATATCATTTGGCGAAGGTATGAGATCGTGGAACTCTTGTTTATGAAGGTGTTAGCCAGGATGTAAGTTTATCAACGGATAAAACATACAACAGCCCCTTCAAAACGTTCATTCTCCGTCCTTTTTGTATAAAAAGAAGACGACAAAAAGAGCAGACCGAAGAATATAATAAGATCAATAAAACAAATTACACAAGAAATGAGTGAATTTTTGCGCGGGTCAATATTAGTAAGATCATTTGAAATGCACAAAACCCAAACTCCCACCCTAAATAAAGAGATGCCTCAATAGGAGTTTGCCAAGACTATGTCTATGACGTGTCCTACGAAGTCCTGGAAGTTGCCGAGTAGAATGAGCGCAGTGCTGATTAGTGTTCATGTACGTTGGACATAACGGGAAAGCACAGCTACTAAAAGACTAATTGACGCCGCAATTCCCAAAATACAACAAGTAAAATCTGAGATTTTATACCTCCGGGCTTTTTATTGTATATTTTTATATGTTGTTTACAACAACAATTGTTGCACGCCGCAGGACTAGGGTTTTAAACAAAGAATTTATTGAGACCGGACACCCCTCTGTGCGTGGGGTCACCTTCGTGGACGAGACCGACAATACCTAATACACGCCAAAGGTCAACGGTGGCGACCACTTTCACGCTAAAAGGGGTGTTCTTGGGCCACAAAAAGGCAACATTTTCACGCCCGAAAACACATCTACAATAAAAACAAAAGAACGTGCATTATCTACATCCCAATAGCAAAGCATATACCAAAAGAATCCGTCCACCCAAACGCGAAAAACAGCTGCGAACATGAAAATCTAAATTTCTCACAAAACCCTTCCGCGGAAGGATGTCTCCTCCCCCGGAGGTAACTAGACCTGTAAGACTTGCACCTTGCTGGGAAGCATTGCTGATGTACAGGCCGACACCAACACGTCACTGTGACGTCACAACCTTTGCGATGTTGACCAAGACTGAGCCTTGTGGTGTTTGGCAGTGGATAAGATAGACAAACATAAGTAAAGATCAACATCATAAGGCATAATTCAGGGCCTTATTTACAAAATTAATGAGAAAATGCTACAACAACCCTCTTAGGACAAGACTGTCATATTTTGAATACGTACGTTATTTTAGACAAATGACGCTGTTTTAAACAATGACATAACTTTATAAAATGGCGAATGTGTGAGGTCTCTTCATTTTAGTTCAAAAGACATAAATTTTCAGCTTGAAAAAACGCCATTTGTATCAAGAGTTTTTCTACTAACTTACAACATTCGACATCTTTTATGAATTTTAAAACAATATCAGTAGAATATGGTTCAGAAATAGTGGTCTGTGAAGCTAATAGTAAAAAAAACCTTTATGTTCCGTAGCAAACTGGTACTTTTACAACGGGGAGTGGCCTCTTTGTGGAAACGCCAGTGGTGCAGGGTAAGTCTTCAGTGCTGCTGCATGAGTGTGCCAGTCTTGCTATGTGAGTGTGCCTGTGGTACTGGGTGTATCAGTGGTACTGGGTTTATCAGTGGTACTGGGTGTGTCCGTGGTGCTGGGTGTATCAGTGGTACTGGGTTTATCAGTGGTACTGGGTGTGTCCGTGGTGCTTGGTGTATCAGTGGTACTGGTTTTATTAGTGGTACTGGGTGTATCAGTGGTACTGGGTTTATCAGTGGTACTGGATGTATCAGTGGTACTGGGTGTGTCCGTGGTGCTGGGTGTATCAATGGTACTGGGTTTATTAGTGGTACTGGGTTTATCAGTGGTACTGGATGTATCAGTGGTACTGGGTGTGTCCGTGGTGCTGGGTGTATCAGTGGTACTGGGTTTATTAGTGGTACTGGGTTTATCAGTGGTACTGGGTTTATCAGTGGTACTGGGTGTGTCCGTGGTGCTGGGTGTATCAGTGGTACTGGGTTTATCAGTGGTACTGAATGTGTCAGTGGTGCTGGGTGTATCAGTGGTACTGGGTTTATTAGTGGTACTGGGTTTATCAGTGGTACTGGGTTTATCAGTGGTACTGGGTGTATCAGTGGTACTGGGTTTATCAGTGGTACTGGGTGTGTATCAGTGGTACTGGGTTTATCAGTGGTACTGGGTGTATCAGTGGTACTGGGCTTATCAGTGGTACTGGGTGTATCAATGGTACTGGGTTTATTAGTGGTACTGTGTTTATCAGTGGTACTGGGTTTATCAGTGGTACTGGGTGTGTCCGTAGTGCTGGGTGTATCAGTGGTAATGGGTTTATCAGTGGTACTGGGTGTGTCAGTGGTGTTGGGTGGGTGTGTCAGTGGTGTTGGGTGGGTGTGTCAGTGGTGCTGGGTGGGTGTGTCAGTGGTGCTGTGTGGGTGTGTCAGTGGTGCTGTGTGGGTGTGTCAGTGGTGCTGTGTGGGTGTGTTTGGTGCTGGGTGGGTGTGTCAGTGGTGCTGGGTGGGTGTGTCAGTGGTGCTGGGTGGGTGTGTCAGTGGGTGAGTGGGTGATGGGTGAGTTTAGAATTCGAGTAGGTCCGTCGGGAGCATATTTGTGGACGTTCGCTTTAACAAATTACTAGTATGCAAAAATGGCCAACACATTGATTTTGTTATAATCAAAATTAGGGCTTTAAAAAAAAACACTGCACGTCGTTAGATATCAGCATGTGGCTTGTTCCTGGAAATAACTCAAATGTTTTCTTTTCAGACAATGCCCCACAGGGTACACGTGCCTTCCCGGAATAGGGACGAACCCGAATCATGGCTTCACAAATTTTGACACGTTCGGCTACGCGATGTTATCTTCTTTTCGCCTTATTACGCAGGACTACTGGGAGAATCTTTACCAGTTGGTAAGATGGATACTTCTAGTCTCCACCAGACTTATTTTGCGGGGTGAATAAATCGTAGAAATCGGCCTAAAAAGGGTATTAAGTGGCCAGAGAAGGTAGCCGGTCAGAGAAGCTCCATTGCCCCGCCAAGATGGAGCTTCTCTGGCCGGTATCTTCTCTGGCCAATTAATATCCTTTTTAGGCCGATTTCTACGATTTATTCACCCCGCAAAATAAGTCTGGTGGAGACTAGATACTTCAAACTTCAACACAATAAAACACTTGACTTTACCAAGGCGTTTGACTGTTCAGCACCAGTATTTGCCAAGATTTCTGCCAATCCACCGCTTTTGTGACGTCACGTTAATAGGTAGAAGGGAAATGTGACGCCGGGAATGCGGGCAGTAGCTTATTGCGTCCCCCGTCACGGCTACTGTCAGCAGTACTGTTTTCTTTATCTTTATCTCTAATCTCGTTATCAAAATAGTGCCCTTCCCTTTATGCTCCGCCTGCTTAATATGTAACACTGTCACATTTTTTGGACCTAAGACTTATTTTAGTATTACCATTTTCCGTCGGTATTGTTATCTGAAATGTTATTTGCACTTGTAAACGTTTACTGACAATATTTTATATACATTTAATTTAATGGCTTATTACTATTTTAAATTGTTTAATATGACGTTTTATACTGTTTGCTGTTTATGTAATGTGCCCATGTCAATTCAGCCTCTGGCTTCCATTTTTGGGACAGTGTTGTTGTGTTTCTAACGTAAATAAACCATTGATACAAAACCTGATAAATATACAGAGCTAGCAGAGAACCCTTAAAAATACAAAATATCCAAGATAGAAAATAAGTTTGCCATAGTTACCGATGCTTGTTTGGCGGAAGTTTTTGATTGTCGAACTCGGGTATGTATCCTATTCTATCATATTAGACCATGTTGATTTGATTACATGGATGACATCCGCACATGAGTTTTTCGTTCATTTCCTCCATTCTAAAACAAGTTTTGACCATTTTGTAAATCATACAAAACAGCTGCAAAATTAGCAAATTTATTTGAAATTTGAAAATTGACAAAAATACATATATTTGAAAACGACAATAATGTCGTTGAATGCCAAAATCAATTTCAAAGGACAGGAAAAATGTGATAAAAAAAATGAAAAAGTTCAGTCATGAACTTTTTTAAAGAATTTTTTTAATTCGCACGCTCGTATCAGTTTTGGGGTTCCCAGAGAATGTCATCCATAACCAAATCAATATGTCCTTGTATAATAGGTACGATGTCTACAATTGTTGATTAGAATATGTAGCGACCATGTATACTTTTTACCTCATACATTTGTTGAACTATATTCAAGTTTGTATGTTATGGATTCTATTCTATACTATCCTTGGCAGATAATCAGAGCAGCTGGTCCGTGGAATATGTTGTTCTTCGTCTTCATCATCTTCCTAGGTTCCTGCTACCTCATCAACCTGATGTTGGCTGTTGTAGCCATGTCATACGCGGATGCGAACGACAATGTAAGTTGCAGGGCTACGGATGGTGTCTTGTTTCGACACAGTTATTCGGCATCTCACGTCAGGACATTTCTAACATCCACTAACGCACTGTCTTTTCTTTCTACGACAAGATACTTTGGTTCACACTAGAAATGCTGATATCTCCTTGCCTTTAAATACAGTTCAGAAGCCCAAAATATATGCGTTTGGTCAGAAAGTGGCAAATAAATAAAAAAAATTTATAGGAATGAAAAAGCGTCTGGGGATGTTTGCCCACTCTACCTTCCTGTTAAGTTTCAGCTCATTTGGCCTAAAATGCAGTTGAATCCATTTAACGAAATGGCAAGAGGAGAAGGAAAAGAAGAAACAAGTGTCCATAGGCGTCAATTCTCTGTGTAATTTTGTATTTTGCAGATTGAGAACAGTGTAGTGTGTGATCACTTAACAACTAGTAACAACGTATAGTAAAAATGGCTAAATCCCCGGTCAAATACATAAGATCTAGCCTGACTAAAAATAAATCGCGCTCCTGGTGGCCACCTGTCCAAAAGTTTGCCGCTCTCCTTGGGGTGAGGTCTTTGACTCCGGGCAGAGAGCTTGTGTAAACACAGGCTACATAAGATCAACAACACGACAATCTGAATAGATAAACAAATTCATCTTTACGTCGATGAAGGTTAGACATCCAGGTAATACGATATGCCAAAAAACAGTTACTCAAGCAACTGGATATGATTTTGAAAACGTCAGACGTTTCAGCTAGTATCCACTAGCTTTCGTCACTGACG